GGGGGGTCTGCGGTTTCCCGCGAGAGGTGGGCGCGGGGTGGGGGGAAGCGGGGCCGCCACACTTCCGGTGTCCGGGTCGGGAGCTCGCCACACTTCCTGTTGATCCGGCTCCGCTGAGGGCTGGGTGGAGAGGAGGGCTGGCGGGCGGGCGGCGGTCACTCACTGGCCAGGCGTGGGCGCACGCGGGGCCGTCCTGGGCACAGAACGTCGTCCGCCTCGTCGCCTGAGCCTCGAGCACCCTCGGCCACCGCGTCACCTGCCCTCCGTGCTTTCGTCCGGCCCTCGGCCCAGCCGCGCGGCACCATGCCTGCCGTGGACAAGCTCCTGCTAGAGGAGGCGTTGCAGGACAGCCCCCAGGTACCTCCCGCCGCCCGGGTCCCCCTCGCCCGAGGGCTTGAGGCCGAGGAGGCCCTACCAGCCGCGGGGTGGAGGCTGGGAGTAAGCCGGGCCCCCTCGGGGGCGAAGAGGGGGCGGGCCCGGCCCTGTGTCTTGAGTCCGGTATGCTCCGGGAGCCGGCATCCCTCAGACAGGGCTGGCGACGTCGGGAAAGCCCCCCGCGGCCGGAGTCTTTGTGTCCCGACCCCTTTCCAAACTCAGCTGAAACCGAGGCTGCTCGGCCTACGCTTGGGCTCCACCAAGTGCCCCGGGCAAATAATCTTTTTTTGCCTCAGCTTTGTCGTAAGATAGGAATAATTGTACCTGCCTCTTAGAGTTAGAATTAAATAAGGAAATGCCTGTCAAGTTGTTCGCGGGCGATGTCTGGTACAAAATAAGAAGTCAGTCTTACTTATTATTATTACTACTACTGATATGATGGCACCTGGTGGATTTAGGACCGGAGTGGGATGCAGAGAGCCTAGACCGCTTCCCCAGCGGTGCCAGACCTCCCTTTGGCCCTGTTTTCCCATTCGTGAGGAGGAAATTACAATACCTGCCCTATTTGCCGCACAGGGGAACTTCATTAGCGCACCCGAGATGAGAATCAAGTCCTTTGAGCTCTGCAGATGAAAGCTGGTGTGCAAATGTAGTAAATGACTGCAGAATGACATTACTTCATAAGTCAGTGCACCTTTCCCCAGGGAACCTTTGTTCTTCATTAACATTTCCCCAGCTTCATATCTGCCCTAGAGGCTCTGCATCCTTGGGTTATTTAAATACCTCTCTTTATTCTCTAGTATCTCAACTCTTGAAAAATTAGAGTAAGAGTAACCTCTTTTCCTTTCACCGTTTCTCTTCCCTTTGTGCTTCCTTTCCATTTTCTTCTTAGTGAATTGTGCCTCCCCGGGGTGATCCTTTGATGGACTTACCTACACCCACTCTGCATCTCTCCAGTTCAGAATTAGTAGTCAAAAGGACTGTGTGCTTAGTTGCCTTGTGCCCATTTCTTTGTGATCTTCTTTACATAGGCAAGTAAGAAAGTGTAAGCAAGCTGTGATTTTTTTTTTTTTAATTGTTATCCGCTGGTCTGATTGACTTCTCAAAGGCCTCTCTGAAGCCTCTAAACTTCTGGCATTTTAATGGGATCAAAACCCTGGGTAGAAGTCATTTTGTCCATCATCACACCTGTTGCGTGCGATCTGAAGATAATATTGTGGAATTTCTAATGATATCATTTTGAACAGGGATTTCCACTTGCTTTGTAGTTGGAGAAACTGAGGTGCAAAGATATATTGCTTTCCTAACTGGACATGGTGATGGCTGAGCCAGGTTAGAGAAGTGGCACTAACTGATTCTCCATGTTGCCCTCACCGAGGAGTTACATTTGGAATTTTTGGCTCTCACATCAGTGAATAGGCACTGGTTCTGAGTTGTTTACAGGATGTGCTCAGCTGTGAGGTAGGAGACAGCGGACTGGCAAACGAGTCAGGCCACTTGGGTCCTAATTGTGGCTCTAACACTAACTTATCATTTGATTTGGGCAAGTCACTCATCCTCATCCTGTGACTGGCTGGGTTTTCTCATCTGCAGAATGAGGGTCACGGAGCAGATAATATTTAAGAGGCTTACAAGTCTAACATATCTGCATGATTTATAACTGAGCTTGTATGAGGAAGAAGAGGTTAAGAGGCATTGTCATTTCTATTTAACGTTCCTCTTTACGTAGGGAATTTGTCATTGCTTTTGAGACGTGGGTGTCACCCTGTGAGGGTTCTTGGTGAGGTTTGAATGGAAGCAAACTTCCAGGAAGGTCTTTGATAACCATCAAAACATATTTAGCTCTCTTGTATGGGGTATGTGCCTAATGCAGCTTTACTGCCAAGGAGATTCATAGACTTGTAACTGGAAGGAATCTAATCCAACTCCTTAGTTTTATCTGTAAAGAATAAAAGCAATAGCAAACACCTGTGTCATACATGCATTTTTTATGTGCCAGGCCCTGTTCTCAGTGCTTTACATATGTTAACTTAGCTAATCCTTTCAACAGTCTTTTGAAGTAGGTACTGTATTAAAACTACCAAGGAGCTGAGAAGTTAAATAACTTGCTCCCAAGATTATACATTATCAAGTGGCAGAGCCGGGATTGGAACCCAGGCAGTCTGCCTATGTTGTTCAAGTTAGCCCAGCTACCTAGCACCTGGCTTTTCTGTCATCAGTGACCTAAAATGTTTCACTAAAAGGAAGTGATCTTAAGAAACCATCTATTGTTTTCTCTTGTTTTATGTAGAGTATTTATGAGGGTTGCTCCAGTAACCTGGTTGCACAGGATTCATTAAATGAACACAAAAGCTTTTATATTTGAGCTCAGTGACCCAAGAAGAGCTGAATAGCAGTTGACTGACCTTATACACATCTATTCATGCCCTTTTAAGTTCACAGTGCTGCACAGTGTATTATAAGACTAGTCTTTGTGCGTACATGTATTATTTCTGGTTACCTCTGGTGTATGAAAGACGAAATATTTTAGGGATTAAGGTACTTGTCTCCATTGCTGTTTGCGAGCCTCTGCTCTTCGCTAGGTGCTGCTAGATGCTGGGAATGTAATGACAAATAAGATAAGAGTGCCTTCCCTCTGCTGGTTCACAGTCTGTTCTGGGAGACAGATAAGGAAAGCAGCAGTTGCAGTACTGTGTGAATGCTGCTGTGATAGGAACACAAATGCTGCTTTGAGCTGCTGCAGCTCACACCTCTCCAGGGGCTTATTCTCTTTCCTGTAAGTAGTGTGCTTTTGAGATAAAGTGTAGCACTGTTGCTTGCTGTTTTGTTACGATATTTGTTTGTTTCCTTTGCAGTTGGCACAGCTGAAGCACAGAGAATTTAAAGATTAAGTTCTGAGATTATTCAGTGAGAGATCCAGCTGGGAAACCAGGCCTTTTTTAACTCAAGCAGGATGCCTCAAAACATTACCTAGTGGTTTTGTCTTCATTGTGGAGGGCTTTTGTCCTGCTGTACTCTGTTTATGATACATTTTCCTTTCAGTAGGCTTGGTTCTACTGAGACATTTCTCTCCCTCTCCCACACTATGGGAATAAGAGTTTTAATTGTTTTTACCTTAAAATATATATATATGTATAATATTTATACTTATATATGGTAAATATTAAAACATTTAAAATATATTTAAATATATATAAAATATACACGTGTGTGTGCGTGTGTATATTTTACAATCACAGCTGTTAAAATTGTGCCATTATATAACTAGATGCTATTCTTAGGAGTGAAAAATGTCTAGGACTAGTTTATTAGATGACACCCAGTTTCTTTATTCTAAGATAGAGGGTAATGTGGAGCTAAGGCTAAGGTGTTTGGTTTCGTTTTTCTGTCCATGCATTACTCTTGAGAGGTAGGGTAGTAGAAGAAGGACGGAATTTAAATCTTGATTCTGCAGGTTACTCAAACTCAACCGCTTGTGTTTCAACATGGGTAAAATTAGAATAAAAATAGTTGCTTAATTCTTATGAAGAATAAATAACATATGTAAAGTATCTTCACGCCTGCATATTATAGTAACTCCATAAATGATTGCTGTTATTGTCTTTATAAGTGATGTGCACCAGTCTTTTGGAGTTTTTTGTGGAACTTTCGAGCAACTGGTATACCTGCCTGGTCCTTGGTTTTATTCCTTCTTTAGGTCTCAGAACATTCCTGTTCTTCCAAATATAAGTTTAAGCAGATGCAGAGCTGATAAATGTGGATATTAAAACAGTGTCTGAGATAGCTGGGTATATTTTTTTTCAAGGATGATCATGGCCTAGTTAAGTTAGAAAGGGAAGACGGGAGTGTTTTTGTCAGTTCCAATGGATGTCATGGTAAACATGTTCAGAATATAAAGAAAAAAAACTTGTGATGTAGTTTTGGCAGTTATCACAGGTGAGAGCATGACAGTAGGATGACCCAAGAGAAGTCAGCTCTAAGCAGTCTGCATCCTGCCTCCAGACAGGATGGTGGGCTGTGGGCCAAAGAGCATGCCCACTGATGAGACCCACCTTTGCTAGGTGGTGGATGCAGCCTCCTGCGGTGGAGAAAGCATGGCCATTGGTACCAGCCAGACCTGGGTTTACATCTCAACCCTGCTGTTTCCCAGCTGTGGGAGGTTGAGCAAGTTTCTTAACCTTAATGAGCCTCAGTTTCATCATCTTTAAAATGGGATTAATGTAACTGTGGTGTCTACCACATAAAATTGTTGGAAGGATTAAATGAAGTAATATTTAGTGCTCAGCACAGTGTCAGACACATAGGAAGTACAGAGTAAATGGTAGTTTTAGTTTTCTTTCTACTCTCTTTATGGAGGACATTTATACAAGCCCTCTCTTTTCATCCTGTGGCTCATTTTCCATTCTATGTATTTTATTTCTAAGAGTATTAAAAACAATAAATAGGACTCAACTAAATGGACATCAGTAGTATTTAAAAAATTAAATATCCTCAATCCAGTTGTATCACTCTTTTTCATTCTCTTAGATATACTGTTATAGCAAAGAAAGGAACAAGAATCATCATAAACATTGAAGGACTTCTCCAGCATTGGCGCCACAAATACCAAAAGATTCTCTCCTATTAGATGACATTTATAGATAACTGTGTAGATAATAGTGTTGCTTTAGTGTTGAAATGAAATCATAACATGTGAAACCCTTAGTGTCCAACATGTTATAAGCAAAGTTCATTATCTTCTTCATAATCAGTATCATCTGCTATCACTGTGTATTAGGCACTGGTAGGCACTTTATGTAATTCATTACCTCTAGTGTTCCCTGCAAATTAGTGTTAGAGCCTAAATTTGGACCCAGGATTGATACGGTCCCAAGGGGATCCCAGCTCCTTTGAGAGGCCCCAGTAGACTGTAAGCTCCTGGAGAACAGAGTTGGTTCTGATCACCTTTGAATCTCAGATCCCAACACAACGTTTCATCAAATATTGGATGAAGGCAGAAGTATATACATGAATGAATGTAGAGTGATAGACCAATCACTGTAGGTTCTCAAAACGTCTTTTAACAATGTTTGTTTTTCAAATAGTGTATTTTAAAGAGATGTAATAAAGAATTCTAAACCGATGTTTTTCACCTACTCATTGACATCCATTAATGGATTATGAGATCCAGTGGGTCACATCCATGATTTTTGTTTTGTTTGTTCTGATCCTTCTGTTGATAAGAATTGGTACTGAAGAGAGTACATTGGTCTGAGAGCAGGTATTTTTAGCCTTAAAGACCTTGGGCAAAACCAGGATAAGCATGTACTACTGTGAAGTCCACCAGAGTTTGTCAACAAAATCAAAGGTAGAATGATTCAAACGTCGGGGTTCCTCTTCCAGTTTATTGGGGGTGCTTTTGAGTCAGTTATTATTCTCTTACCTGAGGTAGGTTAGAAAAAGAAAGAAGGAATTGAAATTCATTTGCAGGAAAATAACGAACCTTAATGGATTGTTCTTTGTAAGGTGCCTTTGGTATCATCTCATTAAAGACATTTCTATAGCTTACTCTCCATTCTATACCTAATGGGTTATTTTCTGAAATATAGATCCCATTATCACTAATGTAGTATTTTAAATTCCCACTGTGCTGGACACATTAACAAAAGTCTCTTGAATAGATATGGTCTCGTATGTGGTCCCTTGATACTTCTTGAGACACCGTCCAATATATAAATATTTCTTTAGTGCTCAGCGTATCAGGCACTACGCATGAAAATGAGAGGAAATACCTTTCATCTAAGACATTGCTCAGCTGCTCTCGAAGCACTGAGTAGTCTTCCCAAAGGAACTGAGCTAGCATTCTTAAGTTGCTATTTGAGTTTTGTGCCCAGAGCTTCCACTGGTGGGCCCATGGTACATGAAATTTCCTGGTCATGAGTTTGAAAATTGGTTGAATAGAAGAATATGACGAAAGACATGGAGCCTGACTGTAGTATCTTAAGTGGAAAGAATGACACACCCCTGCAAGACTTCCAGGATTGCAGAAAACCGGACAGATGGTTAACTGCTGTGATGATGCAGTGCTGGGTGACCATACCCCAGGTATACAGACAGGCCAGACATTGAGTTCAGTTTATGGGCTTGAAGGGAGAGACTGCCCTTTTTAACACTTATTTTATTGGATGGACTTTACTGGTACTTAGGTAGAGGCTAACATCGAGACAGATAATAGCCCTTGAGTCTTCTTAACCCTTTAAAAATTGGCTTTCTTTCCCTGGCCCCAGTACTCAAACTGTATTCAGTTTGCCCTCGCAATGTAGTCTAAAGGATTAGAAAAGAAGTTCTGAATTAAAGCTCTAGGAATCAGCCTATATTAGTATTAGCAATAAAAAAGTAAAGCCAGACAACAGACATCTTCCCTCCCCATATCTCTGTGTGCGTGTGTTTGTTTTACCTCCATTGTAACTTCTCCACTTAGAAATAAAATTGACCTCTTTTCTTGCAGACTCGCTCTTTACTGAGTGTATTTGAAGAAGATGCTGGCACTCTCACGGATTATACCAACCAGCTGCTCCAGGCGATGCAACGCGTCTATGGAGCCCAGGTATCCTCCTGCCCCCTCACCTGGAGAGGAACAGAGTGGGAGCCCTCTGCCCAACTTGAACTTCTCTCAGGAGGTTGAGAGATTTGAGTCAGAACACCACCATTTAAACTTTTGAAATAAAATCACAATTGCTTTTCTCTTCTTTTCACCTCAAAAAACTGAGGACAGTTCATTTTCACAGGTTAAGAAATAGGGTAATTTTTCTGTAACTAGTAGACCAGTAGAAAGGTACCACATAACTGCTTTTTAATTTTTAAAAAATTCTACTCCAAAGGGAAACATTTGAGTCTCCTCTTCCTACTTGTGAATGAGTGGGTTCAGTATTCTAAGGCATGGCTCTTTGTCTTTCTCATAAATGGTCAGTCTTAGATGTCAGTGCAGGCAAGTAGAGATGTTTTTTCAAGGGCTTCCTCTGAAAAGATTTGAGTCACAGTTCTGGAACTGTTGGGTGGCTTCTTTGTTTTGAGGAACAAATATCTCTGCCTTGCAAAACCATGGAAAATAAATTGCTGAGTAGCAAAAGTGGATCTTTTTAAGATCAGGAAATGCCCATGTATGTTACTTTCTAAGAGAAAACTTGTGAGTTACTTAAAAATAAAATTTGTTATGTTACACATCAAAATATTATGGCAACCGATACTTTTCATTATTGATTCCTTGCCGACTTAAGCCTGTATCTCTTAATATGTTCCTTTTTCTCATTGACGATCTCTAAATAAATACCACATTCAGTGTATAATAATAATATAATATAATCATGTATACTCATTTATTTTACATAGCTCTTAATATTCATATATAATCATTTATTATTATCATGGTTTTATTAATCATTCATTCATATCATATATGGGGAAAAAACTCAGCTCTTGCCATTAGGGAGCTTACAACTGGGTTGGGAGACAGACAAAAATAATTACCAAAGAGTGTTAGAGGTGCTAGGAGAGAAGGGTCACCTAACCTGGAGGAATTGTGCTGGGCACCCAAAAGGAGGATGATTATGATAGTTGAGACTTATTGAATACTTCATAGGTTCCAGGTGCAGTTTCAGGGGCTTTTACATGTAATCATTTCACTTCACTTCCCTAACAACTCTGAGGTGGGTGTTGTTATTACATCTTCATTTTATAGGTCAGGAGATTTAAGGATTCTGATGATGAATGACTTTCCAATTCCACCCTATTAATACATGGTAGAGCAAGTCAGCCTGAAGCCAAAGCCCAAACAATTAACTACTAAGCATAAGGGTGGTAGCCTGAGGTAGGGAAGCAGCAGTGGAATTGGAAAGAAGTGGATTGGCGACTGATTCTATGTGAAGGGGTTGGATGGGTGAAGGATGAATCAAGAATGATGCCCACATCTTTGACTTCAATAACAGGGTGCATAGTTGGGAGAATACAGGAAGAGGAGCAGGGGTGTGTGTGTGTGTGTGTGTGTGTGTGTGTGTGTGTGTGTGTGTGTGTGTGTGTGTGTGTGTGTGTGTGTG